ACAAACATGCAGCGTGACCAGTGATGAGAATGATTCATATGAGCTGGTTCTTTTTAGCTAATTACAAACATGCAGCGTGACCAGTGAAGTCCAATTCCTGAGAGAATGATTCTCATGAGCCGGGTCTTTTAGTGAATCACAATCACACAGTGCAGATCACTGACTCTTTTTAGTGAATCACAAACACTTATTAATCAATTGGAGCAGTTTCTCAATTAATATGACTCACTTACTAAACTGCAAATCGTTTGTCCAGATTGATATCATGTTATACGTCATACTTAAGGTTTGTGAGACCTAAAACATGATCACTTGATGTACAATAATATAATGCTTTGCTAAAGATATGCATTATATCAGTAGTAATGTACATGGACTGCATTATCAATTGTTAAGTAACTGGAATTGTTAAATGCATTACAATTCCCAAACTTATTTTGAAGAGACACTGATGTGTCTGGCTCTATGTTGATGGTTCTTTTGGGTTAATGTTATGCTAATGTTAGCACTGGCTAACCTCTCAGTCTCCTGCTGCTCTGGGAATGATCTCCCAGCATGCACTTTGCCCCGGTCTGGTCAGGGGTGCATATGTCTGCTTCACACACCAGAGACATGGCCTGGATTCAGAGAAAGATCTTGGAGGCAGCACATGGTGTATTATTAGAGAAGGTCTGCCAACTCACTGTCTCTCTCGCTCTTGTACTGTGGGCAGATTTCTGTAAGAACACACAGTGAAACCTGCACTTGTCATGTCCACTCTTGAGTGTGTGTGCTCCAAGAGCCGTACCAAACACAGGCCACAGAGTGACATTTCTGCTGTCCACCTCTTCAGATACACACACTCACACATACAGTTGCCAGTTACACAAATAGACAATGCTTCTGTGCATATTACACTTGGACTATCTGATGCATACTGCACTCAAAAATGCATTTATAAATTGCATTTACTTTTTTTCCCCATTTAGCAGATGCTTTGCAGCTGTCCTTATATCTTATCTTCTACATCACCTCTTAGCTCACCTCTAAACATCAAATAAAGCAATCAAAACACTTTACATGTGAAGAGGCCTCTTTCTCTCTAAATAGACAGTTCCTGGTCTGTTCAAGGCAATAAAATGCTGTATATAGTACAGTAATGAAATCAAGTCAGCTTCCAGTCAGGGTCTTGTCTTGGTCTCGCCCAATTAATTCAGCAATAGAGTCCATATAGTGGGCTAATTATCTGTCAGATGGGTGATCCAGTGTTCGTGAACGGGCACATTTTCTCACTAATATCAGTCACAGATTAGTTCTACAAGAAAACCATAGAAGTTTCAAAAAATAATATATACAGTACCAGATTTTTTAAAATGTTTTTGGAAGTACAGTAGTCTCTTATGCTCACCACATTTATTCAGAAACAGTAAAAACAGTAATGTAGTGACATTTTATTACATACAATTTATAGCTGAATATAGCTGCTTTCTATTTGAATATTTTAAACAGTAATTTATTCCTGTGATCAAAGCTGAATTTTCAGCATCATTCCTCCAGTCTTCAGTGTCACATGATCCTTCAGAAATCATTCTAGTATGCCGATTTGCTGCTCAAGAAACATTTCTGATTATTATCAATGTTGTACATTTTTGTTGTTTCTGATGTTGTTGTGGGAACCATTTAAAAAGTTAAGTAAAAAGAAATTGAATAAAGAAGTTATTCACCAAGAATGCTTTAAATAGATTTTTAAAAATGACAGTAAAGAAATGTATCTTGCATTCTATTTCAGTTTCAAATAAAACCTTGTCTTTTGAAATTTCTACTCTTCAAAGAATCCAGAAAAAAAAAAAAATCCATCACAAAAAAAAAAAAAAAAAGGCAAAAACCATTTCAGCTTTGCATCACAGAAACTACATTTGAAAAAGTATTCAAATAGAAAATGGTTCTTTTAAATTGTAACATTTAATGATTACCATTGTTTTTGTTCCAGTTTTTTTACTAATCAATTCCTTATGCTTTTCTTTTTTTTAAACAGAGACTGACCATATGCAAGGACCAACTGTTGGAGTCCCCCGGTGAGGAAGTGCATTATGGGAAACATACTGTAGTACATGCCCCTGCCATATGGACCTACATGTCACAGGGCCCGTTTGCCCCAAGCCTCTCGATGTGGTCCAAATCTCACAGGGCACGTCCTTCAACCTCTTGACAAACCCAGAACCTCAACTCAGAGCCAACTGGAAATGGTCCAGTGGTGGAACGAGAGATTCTGAAGAGCAGCTGCACCGAGATTTGTGGAACTCCGGAAGCAGAAATCAGACCAAAATGAAGTGAACTTCGATGGACACAGAACTCACCCTGGACACCTTTGGAGGACCCATGTAGCCATTTCTGCACCTTTTTTGTGAGCTCTTCTGGATTAAACACTCTGTAACTGTGCAGTGTCAGTTTATTTATTCGTACAGTAGTCAGGGAAAACGCTGAGTGATGAATGAAGTTGTCAAACATCATTTAAAACATCCAAGCACTCTCATGACAGTAGAAGTTAAATGACCTTTTTTGCAGTAAATATCAAAACTCACATGTCGCGGGTGGTTTTGCGGTGAAGATGTGAAATGAAATCGTACGTGAAAGCCTGTTTTTAAATACTGTTGTGATTTGACATTTTCTCATCTGTAAGAATAAGTGAGGTGGCAAAATGTGTTAAATTAATTTTGTTTCATGCCCTGAAAAGTTCATAGTGTATGTTTGTCACACTGTTTTGAGATCTAGGAAGAGGTTTTGTACAGCGGTACGCACCATTATTGATATCGATCGGTTGAGATCATTTAGACTTTAGTTTCTGAGTGAAATGCCAAAATAAACATGATTCCACACTCCTTTGAACAGGACAAAGGAGACACTTACAGAAAGGTCAGCAAAGACAACTTTTTTTTTTAAATGGCATTTGTTTACCTTGGTTTTGCAAGGCATTACCCAGCTAACAAAAATAAGTTCTAAGAATGTTTTGCTAACGTTATAAAAAAAAAAAAAAAAAAAAACTTCTGCATGTTCTCTGAACATTCAAAAGGTCCAAATGGTTTTATGTGAACATCAAGGGGCTGATCACACAGAACTAAAAACATGGGACGCAGTGCTCGGGAATGGTTTTTAAAAAAAAGCGCAGAGGAATGCCTCCTCCGCCATGTTGCCATTAAATATTAAAGGGGTCATATGATGTTGCTAAAAAGAACATTATTTTGTGTATTTGGTGAAATGTTTTTATGCGATTTCAGGTTCAAAAAACACATTATTTTCCACATACTGTACATTATTGTTTCTCCCCTATGCCCCGCCTTTCTGAAATGCGCTGATTTTTACAAAGCTCATTGGTCTGAAAAGCGAGGTGTGCTCTGATTGGCCAGCTATCCAGTGCGTTGTGATTGGTCGAATACCTCAAGCGTGTGA